ATGGTAACTTCCAGACTGTGTCACAAGATCAGTGTAAAAATGCTAGGCTCATAGATCTGAGCCAGAAGGGCCCTTAGACATCATTTGGTCCCTCCCACATTTTACAAATGAAGAAACTGAGGCCCTGAGATGTTAAATGACTTGCCCAAGGTCACATAGGTAGTAAGTAGCAAAGCCAGGATGAAAAGAGATATGCACTTGAAAAAGTTAGACACCATCTACAAATGTAAGGCATTACGTAGTTTTAAGAACAGAAAAGAGGAGAGAAGGAACATAGTGTCTTTCAGATCTTGCTTTTCAAAACAGACTCTATGTGGAGGCTTTAATGAGCCAGACAGCATCTGACTGAATACCAAAATCAATGCAGATTTCCTCTACACCATACATTAATTCAGTACGGAGCTGGTAAATCTGAGCTGCGGGGAGCCTGAAGTTTCTGGAGAAGTCAATGCCATCCCATTAGTAGAGCTTACATCCTGTATAAAGGGAGAGAATGAGCTACCCCCTCAGGGAATTTGGGGACATGGAGAGATGGGTAGAAAACCAAGAAAAGGAGAGGTATAGTGGAGGGAGAGACTGAAGGTGAAATATCTGGTGGGACAGAGCCTTCAGGAGAATGACTCACCCTGCCAAGGGGCATGGATCAGCTTGAAAGTACAAGTCATTTGTTGGCACATATTCTATCATAAGTTGTCCAAAGGGGACCCTCCCCATTTTCTCTGAGCCTCCTGCAGAATTTCAGAGATACCAGTGGAACATATGAGAAGCCCTTAAGGGAGCTTGTTCTGCCATTATTTAAAGCGGAGGTTTTTCACCTAAGGTTTGTGAACTTGCTTTAAAAAAAAAATCAATAACAGCATTTCAACATAATCGACATTCAGCATGAATTGCCTATGAACTTTATGCATTTAATAGCATTCTTCTGAGAAGGGGTCTGTAGACTTCACCAAAGAGGTCCATAACCCACAAAAAAATTAAGAACCCTTGCTTTAAAGTCATCAAACACAGTTCTTAACATTTTACAATTTCTCTTCCAAGGGATTCATTTTTGGTTTATCCATTTAAAATTTACACTTTTTTATTCATTCATTCCAAGTCAGAGGTGCCTTAATTAACAATTTTTGTCAACCTTTTTTCAAAGTTTACTGACAACTTCCAATTGGTTCTGAATGACCTTAATGTCCCATCTGGCGAAAGCTCTGGAAACACAGAAATTACACAGGCTTTAACAAATGAATCAACAATTAAAATAGTTTCCTCAGAGCCTCTGAAAGCAGTCAGTCAGCAAATATTTATTAAGCAATTAATACTTGTGGAGTATGGGAGCTAGGTAGTGCAGTAGATAGTGCCAAGCCGGGTTTCAGGAGGACTCATCTTCCTGAGTTCAAATCTGGACTCAGACACTTACTAGCTGTGATCCTGGGCAAATCTCTTAACCCTGTTTGCCTTAGTTTCCTCATGTGTAAATGAGCTAGAGAAGGAAATGGCAAACCACTCCAATATCTTTGCCAAGAAAACCCCAAATGGGATCACAAAGAGTAGGACACAACTGAATGACAACTCATCGAGTACTGTGTATAGGCTTATCCACATAGATGTAGTTTCTAAGAGTCTTTCTTATTTGTTATAGCCCTCCAAAAGCATTTCTAAGATGATTGAATTCACTTCAACAAATCAATCAAGTATTACTTGTGCTGTGGGAAATATACAAGGCGTGAACAAGGCATAGTTTCTGCCCTCATGAGGCTCAGTCTAGTAAAATTTTCTTGATTTCTTCAGTTTTCTCTGTAGCCAAGGGATATTTGAGAGAAGGGACATAAATATTGCTTGTTTATGCCACTAATGTTTCCTTCAGCCAGATGAAACATAGCAATTACCCTGATGTATCTTGGATAAACTAGTAAATGTTTTTGTGGGCTTGATTTTTTTTTTTATTCCATTGACATAGCTACCGTGGCTATCATAAAATTTGCTCTGCCAGGCTAATACATATCACATCTAGCAGAGGAAGGAAAAATTCTAAGAATGCTAAGAGCTAAAAGAGACTTCAGAAATCACTTGATCCCAGCTCTTCACTTTACAGATGAGTAAAGTGAAGCCAAGACAGTCATGACAAATCAATAACCTCAAGTAACTTGATTCTCTTCATTTGTATCCAGTTTCCCCAAAGTCTTTTGCATTTTTGTTCTACATGGAAGAAACAAGCAGCAGGTTTGGAGTCAGTTCTTTTTAGCTAGTCTTGGCAACTCAAATTACAAAAAAAATAAATGTTATGAATAGTCCAGGGGCAAGGGCCAGACAGTTTAAAATGTTCCCAAGGACTCATGATTTTCAGGGTGGCTTTGCCTGGACACTTATATATACAAACAACTATACCCTACCCACTCTGTAGATTGTAATGAATCATCATTTCCCTGCAAACATATTCTCCACAAAGAAAATTAAGTTAGAGACTAATTTAACAAGGAACTAGAGCTCTTTTGCTAATTAAACAGCAGATTCTGATGTAAAAGTAATATTCATAGTATATTAAGTATCAATGAATTAGTATCAATTAATATTAATCAGTCATTAAAGATACACTGGTCAAAATAATTTGTAAATTTCATTAGCCCTTCTAAGGAGACCATGCAAAGATGAGAAGTTTTATGAGCATCAGGGGGAGAATTATTGATAAATAAACCTTTCAGTGACTTGAATGAATAATCAATAATCTAGGAGTCAAAATCCTGACACGTATAAGATGCAGCATAACATCAGATAGGATAGAATTGTGACTATGAATTTCATTCATAAGCTTACTTTAAGTATTTCCTATTTACCTATACATATTTAAAACACATTTAAGGGGACAGAGATGAAGAGAGGCTCAACATGTGATCTTTAGGAAAATTATACTAAAACTATCAAGTGTTCAACCTCTTCTAAAGAGAATACCTCATTTCTTAACTCTTGCCACACTGAAGTTCCTATCCTTAAGTTTCAAAGAAGAATTTTAAGGTTGAAGAATTCAGACCAACCAAGAAATGTTATAGAAGCCACAAAGACTAGGACAGGTATGAATAAGCATGGGCTGAATCTGGCCCTAAAGCAAGAACAAGTTAACTCCCATTTATCCTTGCAGTTGGAAAAATAGAGCTAACCTATTAATACTAGTGGTACTTTTAAAGGCCACAAGATGCAGAGAATACTTCATGAAGGTAGGGCTTCCCCTCCTTATATATGCAGATTTTAGATAGGAATTAAAAACTGCTATATGACCTTTAAATTCTGGCAGTTTTACCCCTTTTAAAAACTTAAATGTAAGAGAAGCTATTTTAAGAGGAGCAAGGTTAGTTAGATCTTTGCTTCTCAGAGTAAGAACGTTTGTTGCTAACAGTAAGGCTGTTTCTATATTTTCTTTCCTTTTATCCAAACAGAGAAAATAATAATGATTTATACATTTCTGCCTGTGGCTTTCCTATTTGTGAACTTAAGAACCCAGCATTCAGTCTGCTTCTGACGCCATACCTTCTTGCCCCAGTCTACAATTTATTTATTACTATTTATTGAATAGAGTACTGTGCCTGGAGGCAGGAAGACCTCATTTCAAATCTGGCCTCAGACATTTACTAGCTGTGTGACCCTGAGCAAGTCACTTAACCCTATTTCCCTCAGTTTCCTCACCTGTAAAATGGGCTGGAGAAGGAAGTGGCAAACCACTCCAGTATCTTTGCCAAGAAAACCTCAGATGGGGTCATGAAGTTGTATACAGCTGAACAACAGCACTAAACAGAGCTGTGCTCCCTATTCTTAATTTTTAAAGTAAATTAGGTGGGATGGTTTTATGTATTCAATTTCAAAAAACAATCTAAGTTGCTTTTTACTTATGGAACTATAGGGAGGTTAGCCCCTCATTCATGGATCAGTGGCTCTCAACAAATAAAAGGTTTCTGAGCCCTGTGTGATAGATATAATTTCATAATGTATTCCATTCCAAGTCATCTCCCTTTTATCCATTTCATTTTTTGCAAGTTTTTAGGTCAAGAAAAATGAAGTTCCTAAAGGGCCAATAAAGTTTAAGCCTTCAGTGGTTTTTCATCCAATATAATGTTTGCAGAAAAAATTACATTGGTAAATTCTGATTAAGGGTGTTCCACTAACACTACAGTTATATTGAAAATGTATTTTTAGTGCTGAACATTGAACAGTGGAGAAATGACCCCATATTAACTACTCATGCATTCAAGATGGGGTTTCCTTGATTTGCATTTAGATGGGAATTCCTTCAGCTCAGATCCAGGATTCTTCCTCACTTGGTATACTTGGAAAAGCATGAATTTTTACTGGTGAAGTACCAATATATGCTTGTATGATGGGGACGCATCATAACACTAGTGTTAATAGTGTTGGCTTTATGGGCAAAGGTTAGCTATCAAAATGTTGGAAAGGTTTAGAACAGGCCTCCTTTGATATCTCTCCAAGAAGGCAACAAACTCCTATTAACACAGGATCGTTGCGGTGTTTCTTGTAATGGTAACCCAGTTTCAGACAAGGAGGTGTGTTGCAATGGGTTTTTCTTCTGTTTGCTTGTTTCTTCAATATGTGCAGCTTCGTATACAGTCCAAACAGCACTGCACATTTATAGTCTGGTACCGAGTGACAGCTGCTCATCCTTAGGCATATTTACTTGTAGCCAGGAAAGTTAAAGTATACAATGCAGTAAAGGTTATCTCAGGAGCCACACAGAGTAAAAAACTAATATGATTTATGCATGTCAGCCAATGACTGCCTGTGGATTAACCCAGACATGAAGTTTCCTACCACACGTCTGACTCCATCTGGGCTGATGCATTATAATGCATAAATACAGGCTGTGTCTCATCAAGTAGCTCTAAACCAGCACTCAGCACAGCACTTGGCACATAGTAGGCACTTAAGAAATGTTTGTTGATTGATCTGTACCATTTGCCTCATTTCCTTTGCATTTAATTTTAAAAAACACACATCATATGCATCTGAAAAGGTCCTCAGTTACTTTTTTATTTACAGATTTGTTCACTGGGATAGAGTCGTGAAGTCAGTCTCATTTTCACAAAGGTCCCAGGACTGAGTAGTCATACAGCATTTAATTATCACTTCATACCACTTAAATTATAGAATAAGAGCGTTTAGTCTAACACAATAAACTGGAAAAGTGATACGAGACTTTGCCACTAAGACACTAATAGCTTAGAGTCAATTTCTAATGTACCAGATGTCAAAAAAGCAGTGACTAAAGACTGAAGTGCTCATAGGACACTCACATGAAACCAGCACCCCCCAGAAGCCACACCTTTCTGAGCTGTTTTTAGCTCTTCAAACACCCCTAACCTTTGCTTCCACCAATGAGTTTGTGATTTGAATAATGGGAAGAAGAAAGTCAAAGGACAGCTTTTTCACCCCCTTCATACTGCTCCTTCTCCAACCCCTCCGTGCCCCGTGCTGTTGATTTGTTGCTCATAAAGGGCTGTTTTTAAGAATAGCTAGATGCCAACATATTCAGCCACCCATTCTTCAGAGCGCTGGGATTCTGGGAAGTTATCAGTGTGATTATTTGTTCCCTTGTTCCCATTATAGGGAATGAACCTCCCTACTAGTCCCTTCTGACATACCTAAGAAAAAAATAAAAACATATCAATTCATAAAGTCCTAACACACAAGACAAAGCCCACCTACTACTCTCTGTAGTGGGCAACAGAAGGAAATAACCAAAATGAAGATTCCTTTATGTGATGGAGACCGGGCCTTTACAGCTAGAGTCCCTGTGACCTCCAGTGCTTCCAGAATATACTTATAAAATGGACCTCAGTGATAGTGATAACAGTGCCCACCCACTGGTCAGGTGTGGTACAATGTTTCACTCTTCTACCTTGTGGTACCCTGACAATAAAAGAAAACCAAATTTTCTTTACCACTCCCCAAGCACAAATTATCAGACCTGGATGCGTATGGTTATACTAGACATTTACTGTATGCATTAATGTTGCATGCTGCCTCCTTAGCCATGCTGGGATATTTATTAGGAAGTACAGTGAGGTCTGCACACTAGCAAAGAACAACTCTAGCATAAGGAACAACTTACAACCAATGTGAATAACTGTCATCTTTATAAGGTGGTGGGAGCAAACAAAGGGGATTTAAGGGCTGCCTCTGAGCCCACGTCTTCAAGGGATGATTGATGGCTCATCTTGCCACCTACCATTTCCAGGACTTAGAGTGAACTGGAATTTACATGTCATAGAACTTTAATGTAAGAAAACAAACTCTTGATTATCCTGAGACATGTAGGGCAAAGGCAAAAGGGGTGGCAGAGAGTGCTTAGATAAAACAAAAACATAAATAATGAAAGGAGACCCATTTAAAAATATTCCCGAGTCTATTTAAAAGTAGGCCACCTTGCACAAAATATAAGTATTTTGAGCTACAAATACATACATATTTAGTATATTTACCTTCCATAAACAAGCACAGAGCAAGGTAATAAATCAGTTTCAGCTCCAACAGGACTGCAACAGATCCTAAAGGTCATAGAACTGAGCAGGAAGGTACCCTTGAGACCATTTAGTCCAAACCCCTCATTTTACAGATGAGAAAACTGAGGCCTGGACTTATTTATTGGTCAAAAAATCAGTGACTGTTCCTCGTCCCACTGACTCATGTTCTTTCTTCCTTATCGTCGTGCGCAGTCGGTGGAGGACGAGTTTGTCGGTCATGAGGGAGTCCTCTTGCTGCTCCAAATAATCCAGCAGGATTTCCACGTAGTTTAATGCCGCACTGTGGCTAATCTGACCCTCTGGAATCAGTTCTTGTTCCTCTCCTTCACTTTCATTCAGCTCCACTTTGATTTCTTCAGCTCTCGTTATCGTGTCACTGTTGGCCAGTAACTGGTTGCCTACTTCATGGTAGCTGATCCCTTGCCTTTGTTCTTCCACGTGTGCAGCCCGGCTCTTTTTGTGACCTCTGGGCTGCTGCTGCCCATCCACTATTAAGCTGGCTGATGGAATCCCTTCTTCATCTGGGTCAGAAATAATTTTGCGCCACGATCGAGTAATTGTAACTGGCTTCACTAAGTTCCATGCTCTGATCGCTTGAGTGATAGCATCCTGAGCTGTCAGGTTAGTCCCAAACGATTTTATGTCATGCCCCTCCTGCACGTGCTTTCTTAATAATCCTGTTCGGTAGTGTCGCTTCATGCATGCTATCACCCCCTGGTCCATAGGCTGAATTAGAGCAGCCACGTTTGGTGGCAAATATTTCACAAAAATGTTGCCATCCTCAGACTTTAGAAGACCTTCATTGGGTTTGGAGGGCGCATAATCTAAAAGTAGGACAGCTCTTTCCGGAAGGCCTTTAGAGCGTAAGTGTTCCCGGACCTGGGGAACAAATTTCTTATCAAACCATTCTTTGAAAATCGTGCAGTCCATCCATGCTTCTTTGTGGTTAAAACAATCAATTGGCATATTTAATGGATTGGCTCCTCGAAGCAAATGCAGATGCTCTGCTTTCCCAACAACACACAGTTTCAGTTTGTGAGAACCGGTTGCATTTACGCAACACAATACAGTTAGTCTCTCTCTACTGAGTTTATGGCTTGGAATAGGATGTTCATTCTCAAAAGCCAATGTCCTTGCCGGTAAGGATTTCCAGTAAAGCCCAGTTTCATCAGCATTGTAGATCTGCTCTGGCTGCAACCTTTCACTTTCCGTAAATTCCTCAAAATCTTCACGAAAATCAGCAGCAGCTGACTGATCACCACTTGATTTCTCACCTTGGTAATTTAGTTCTCTGATCCCATGCCTCTGCTTAAACCTAGTAAGCCAACCAGTAGAAGCATTGAAGTCCCCTTCCATTCCTAATGCATTAAAAAAAGCCTTTGCCTGTTTTGCACAAATTATCCCAGACACTGGAGTTCCTTCAGCTCTCTGCTGATTAAACCATTCCAACATTGCTCTATCCAGCTCCTTGTAGGTAGACTGCTTCATAGATTTACGTCTAGCCAGAAGTGTTGCAGAGCCTGAGCTACTTGCATATGAAAGTAGCTGTGCCTTTCTCTTTTTTAAGTCACGAACGGTCTGTTCACCAATTCCATACATGATAGAAAGTTGCCTTGTGTTACCACCTTTTTCCAGTTTTTCAATAATTTCCAGCTTTTCCTGGATTGTAAGCACAACTCGTTTACGCTTCATCGCTGCCATGGTCAAAGACGGTCTGTATACAGCACTGGAAAAGAAAAAGAGAATCACAGCCCTTTGGCTGGCAGCAATAAACAGTAGAACACGGTTTTGGCATTATGGGCAGACTTTATTTTTTTAACGGTTAAGTTAGCAACCTTGATAGTCTATCCACAGATAATTTTTATTTTATATGGTGGTCTATCAAATGTTAATGATCTTTAAGAAGGAAAAAGACAAGAACCAGGATTGGTTTATGGTTTGCTTGCCTGCACTGGCCCCTCCTCTTCTACCCAGATGGTGGTGCAAAGGCTGGTGGGAGTTAAGACTGCCTCCTGGTGTATCTTCTTCTGCAGCTCTTCAAGGGTATAAACTAATACATTTGTCTTCTTTTCTAAAGGAGGATGCCCAAGGAAATATCAAATGTTAGTCACTCCATGATACTGGTAGACAATAAAGTTACAATTCTCTGTCTACTTATTTCCTGAGCAATACCCAAATGACTCAAGTCAGTATTTTCCTCTCCAAATAGTAGTATTGAAATGCAGGGCCGTTTTTTGTCATTAAAGTAGTAATATCCTATTATAATATGATTTGCTTTTACACTGATTGTATGTATAGTGGACAGGTGCTGGACTGGAGTCATGTAGACCTGGCTTCAAATCCTGCCAGTGACTTTTAACTCCCCATTCATGATCACGGGCAAGGCATTTACCCAAGCCTCAGTTTCCTTATCTGTAAAATGGGGATAATAATACAAGCCATAAACCTCAAAGGTTTTGTTGTAAAATTCAAATAAGATAATAGCACCTTGCAAATCTTAAAGCACTATATAAATGTCAGATATTACTTTTAATATGCCCCAAGAGGTAACCACATAATATAAAAGACTAAATACAATCAGTTCCTATAACCCATGCCTTAATTCAGTGTCCCAGTATGAGAATTACAGAAAAGTAATACCCGTGTGCCTAGCTTAACATAGCCACTGGGTACATGTGATTTGATATGATAGACAAAATGCTTAATTAATTTTCCAATAAACTGAATATAAGATAGAGGATTTTAAGGGATTTGTTTTTAATCAAGTTTCTAGTATGGGACTCAGTTTCTTGATTTCAGTTGTGAGAATTTTCCACTATAAATAATATTATTTTATGATCTAAAATCAAAGGTTTTGCATGGTGATTACAATTAACTTACATTTCTATAGTTATGTAAGCATTAAAAAGCACTTTGCTCATAACAGCCCTGTGAGAGAGCCAGCGCTTTATAAATGAGCAAATTGAGGCTTTGGGAAGACAAGGGATTTAATCTTAATCTGAAACTTACAGGATCACCCAAGAAGTTGTGCAGTGACAACTACTGGGGCAGGTAATTTTGATGCACTAAGTTTAAAGCTCTGATAGAATATTAAGGAACTGGGAAAAATCCTTTTGCATTAGTGCTGTTCATGCATATAACTTAGGCCATCCTGGAAACTGAGCCTCAATTCAGGCTTTGAAACAAAATGGGGATTTGGGATTAAATTGAGGTTCTCTGATTACCTCCAGACTCATCCCTCCTTTCTACACATAACAATGATAATAATAGCTAGCACTTACATAGCGCTCTAAAGTCTGCCAAGCATTTCAAATATTATCTCATTTGATAACTCGTAGTTAACTTAGTTTAGTAATGATTGTTATTGTCAGGCTGCATTTTAGTTAGTTGAGTTTTTTTAAAAACAACTTTTGCTGAAAAGCTCCTTTATTGTATAACAGAACCACAGTATTTCAGAGTAGAAAGAGGCCAATTATTCCTTTTATTTTATATATATATAAAATATATATTTATATTGCTTTAGTAATTTTGCTAGGCAAGGATCCCTTCTACAGCATCCAACAAGTGGTCACCCAGTCTACACCTGAAGATCTTTAGAAGTCCCCTACCTCCCAAAGCAGCCATTCTGCTCTCACTTTTATGTTTCTCTCTTATAGGAAATATGGATTATTCTTCCTGGGTTCTCAACTAACTTTGAAAATCACTAAATAAAATCACTAATTGTTAATATTAAGCAACATGAGACAGAGTTAGTAAGGGGTTAAATAGAATAACAATCTTTGATTCCGGGAATGTTTAAACAGTTTTTTAATTGTGTATAAAAAAAAGTCACAAACTGTTTAAAGCCATTAAAAATAAGCATCACAATAAAAAAAATCTGATTGCTCTTTTCAGCAAAGTTATAAAGCAGAACTGTATAAAAGTTAAAAACACAGTCTTGATTTTTTATAAGAAAAAAACTAGTTGAGTAAGAAAGAACAGGTGGCAAAGGGCATAGATAACAAGGGTTCCTTGAAAAAGCTTTTGAATCTTATTTACATTCACATTTTTACTGCTTTTGTTGTCCTATCAATCTCCATTTACTGGCTTTCCTTTCCTTCCATAAAGACTTCATTGGCTATATTTAAGGGCTTCCTCACATCAGCAATCGTATGCATCTATTTTTAACTGGTTATTACTCACATTAAAAAAAAAATCACTTTCAACTGAAATCCTTGTACAGAAAGACTAAGCTCAGACATTTGCTGTTTCAAAATAATATGGAAACTTCACGAGGGTTTCTATTGCCCAAAACTACCATTAGGTATTTTTAAGGGGCATCTCCATGGTATTCAATTTACATTAAAAACTAAGATATGAATAATTAATTGGTCTTTAAGATTGAAATTAAATTTAATTCACACCTTAATATTACCCCCATTCCCCCATCCCTGTTTCCTTGGGAAATCACTACCCTATTTAAAAGAATACAGTCCTCAAATTGATGGATAGTTCATGGAATACAGAAGCATTAGGTTTCATTTAGTCCTTCTGTTCCTCCTCAGGTAATTTTCAGAGCTTCAACATATGAAAATGTTTTTAAAAATGTTGCAGCGGATGGATAGATGGCCTCCAAGTCAGGAAAATTTACTTTCAAGTCCTGCCACTGACACGTACTAGTTATGTGAACCTAGGCAAATCACTTAATTTCTCAGTGCTCTCTGAGTAACTCTTTCAGACTTCATGGTAAAGAAAGAACAGTTGAGATCTGCATTGGTAGAGGGAGTTTTCTCTCCAGAAGTTCTCGACACCAATGAAATCACAAGTCTGATGAAAAATATATATACACACACAAAATAATCCTCACATTAGACACACTGAAAAGTTGTGTATCACTACATAAAGTCAAGCCAAAGTGTTTTGAAAGCCCCAAGACAACTGAAAATTATTAGTAATATACAAAGCCATTTATCGGCTTTCTGAATTATTTCAATTGGAGAACATCATCAAACTTGTTGGGGGGTGAGGAATCTTTTAATCTTAGATGGGGTAATTTTATTCTTTAGAAGAAGTAATTTTGAGGCGAAATTCTGCTTTTAAAATTGTGTAAAAGGCTGCTCTGAATCTATATAACAGGAATGGAAAGAGCTCTGGACCCATATGAGTCAGGACACTGCCAATTTATTCTCAGATCTGCCCCTAACAGGGTTCACTTATAAAATGTGTGGTCACCTTGGATGATCTTTAAAGCCTTTTTCGGCTCTAAAATTGTGCCAATTTTATAAATAGGCAGGTTAGCCCTGCTGCCTTCACTTCACTACTATATAACACATGTAGTGCAGGCTCTTAAGATCTGAAGGGGTATTTGGTCCAACCCTTCTTTTTATGAGAAGGGCTCTACAGCCCATTGAAATGAAGGAACCTGGTCACTTAGTACAACTGGCGCTGAACAGGAAGCCCTTCTACATTTTTTACCAAATGCTTATCCATCCTCCATTCAGAGACTGCCAGAACTGAGAAATTCTAGGGCCAAGATTTGAACTATGATCTGCACTGCCCATTCAATGCTCTTTGCTCGCATTTTCATCATTCTACTAAAACTCTGAGGTCTTTTACTGCTTTCCCCACTCCCAGATCTCATCGTCAAAAGACTTCTCCCTAGCATATCCCACCAATGTTTTGGGGGTTTTTTTTGTTTTTTTTAAATCAGCAATACCATTTCATCAGTGTAGAAAGCTCCCAGTGAGAAACTTCCTCTCCTAATGATCAGAAACTTCCCTACAACTGTCTTAGAGGACTACCTAGGGGTGTTCCATTAAACACCTTGCCCAGAGTCACCCAGCCAGCATGAGTGTGAGGTAGAGCTGGAACTCCAGGTCTTCCTGACTCCAACTCTTCAGCCACTACAAGTCCACTATCCCCATCAACAGAGAAGCATTGAAATGTTGCACATGGAGCTCTCCCATCACCATGAACAACTGAATAATTTTCCTCTACCAGAATTATCCAGGTCCTGGTCCCTGGGGTTCACAAGTCAGCTTCAACTCTTCTTTCTCCTCCACTTTCTCTACTGAGTCTATTACCAAATCTCCCCACCTATTTTGTTCTGACAAAATCCTTCAGATTTGCTCATTTTTATTTCCACGGGCACTACCCATCACCATTCAGAACAGTTTAAATGGTCTCTCAAAGGTCTCCAACCTCTACAGAATAACCAAAAAAACCCTTTCCTAACATCTTTGCCTCTATCAGATGCCTATTTCCCTACACATAAGACTGATCTACAGATTCTTTAATTGGGCTTCCTAGACCTTATACCAACTAAATCATGTCTTGAACCTGATTTTTCAGTAATCAACTACAATACTTCCTTCCACTCATCGAGCTCATCGGCTTGCTCTATGCACATAACTTATAAAAACACATTTTCTTGCCTCTGCATATACCTTATTCTTCATATAAAATGCCCCCCTCCATCTCTACCAGTTTACACCTAGCCCTCACTTTCAAAGCATTCTCTGAATGACTACCTGACTGTTCAAGCCTCTCTTCAGTGCACTGTTAACACATATGTAATACAGAGTTCACACACTGTATTCATTTCCACTTAAACTGCTCTATAAATGTATCTGTAGGTTGTTTTATGGGCACAGATTTGTTCTCCCTGAGACTATAAATTCCTTGAGGATAGCAACCATGTCTGATATTTGTTTATGTTCCCCAGAGTATCTGTATAGTAGTATGTTCAGCACAGAGAACAGCTTAATTTATCTTGCTAACAAGAAAGCTACAACTTCTTTTAAACCAAATAGTATCATCCTGAGTACAAGATGGAGTCAGTCATTAGAGGAAAGAGAAGGGTTTCTCAAGTCCAGAAAGGGAATTTAGGGCCATAGCCTGAATGACAAACAAGGTCATGCTTTGCTCTTTTTAAGTGATGTCTGTCCTATTACTACCAATAGTAAACATCTACAAGTCCCTTGCTAATCATATTGTGTTCTTAATAATGTAAAGGATTTAACTTTTAAGATTGTTAGATATTAACTGGAATACAATTAATCCAGAAAAAAATGAACTTATCTAGTTTAATCTATTTTTCTCACCTTTGTTTTTTATTTACCTGTCACTTCCTTAGAAACAGGTTTTCAGGAACTTGCTGAGCTGTAGGAACAGGTTGCTACTCTGTTTTAAAATGTACTGCAAGATAATTGCCTATTATACAGAGATTACAACAAGTTTTAAAAGAAAGGCTGTTCTTTTGTGGCATTTAAAATGGTAACTTGGAAGGGAAGCAAAATGAAGGCCATCTCATTTTCCCCAATTATTATGGTAAAGATAAAAATGTTCATTAGCGCAACACATTTTTAATTTTGCAAGGTTTGGGAATCTGATAAGGGAGCATTTTCCATAATATCGTCAATAAAGATTTTACTGACTTTTTTCCACAGTAGTAGAAGCTGAGGTCTTTGGGTGGTGATGCAAAGAGGTAGTGTGGTGGAAAGAATAATTAACTGCATATCAGAGGGACCTGGATTTAAACCCCACTTTGCTCCTTTACTGCTTATGGGACCCTTGGGCAAGTCCCTTCAGCTCTCCGGGCTTCACATATCATCTATAAAAAAGATGAAGGTGGCAAGGACCCTTCCAGCTCTACCTCTATGATCCAGTGATGTGACTTTTGACTGTTCATGCCACAAATTAACCCACTACTCTTGAGTTCTTGCTTGGATCAAGGCATTGCGTTATTCTTACAGCCGTAAGAGAAGAGCTCAGACATAGAGTCTGAATGTTTTGAAGATGTTCCTCCACGAGTTGGGACAGGGCTAAACTTTTTATAATCTTTTGAGAAGATTCAGAAGAGGGTGATGCAAATGCAGGAGATCAATGAAGCTATCAAAAGTGAGGGGGTTCATGAAGATATACAAAGCAGAATTCAGGGAAGCTCAACAGGTGGGTAAAAGAGGGGGGATGGGATAATCAGATAGAAATATTTCCGTATTAATTGATTATAGCAAGTGGACCAAGTGCTTCCCACTGCTGTACCTAAAAACTGCATCAAAGGTTTCCTATATGAAGGCATTTTTTTATGTAGTCTTTCAGGATGGGAACACCTATAGTCTACTGCAGTAAAGCTCTCTAGAAGTACATACACTAAAATAAGACAGGCCTAGAATCCCAGTTCCACACTAGTATCAATGTCAGAGTGAGAAATCATGAGTTAGTAACTTTTCCACAGGCTACTAAAACCCGACTGCTCTGCCAGTCAGGTCTCAACGCAGTCACAGTCCAAAGCTCTCAGTGCTTTATGGGTAAGTAGCTAGTTTCATTTTGAATATTAGTAGTAATGGGGAAGGGGCACCATAAATGAAATGTGATAGTCATCAAACTTCATTTAAATTACTAAGCTTCAACTTTTACCCAATAAGACTCTAAATCAAGCATTTATTTAAGCAAGAGTTCTTAACCTTGGGGCTCATGCATTTAAAAAAAATTGTTAATTGTATTTCAACTAGTTTCCTTTGTAATCTTATGTATTTTTAATCACTTAAAAACATTATTCACAGGGGTCCAAAAGCTTCACTACATGGCCACAGGGGTCCAGGAATAAACAAAAACAAAAAAGATAAGAAATCCTAATAATGAGCTCAGTGCACACACACCTTTCCCTTGTGAACTGGCTTGATTTCACCTCCTTCCTTTTTATATTTCCAGCATCTGGAAGACATGGCTAACTAAGCCAATGAAACAGTCCAAGGGAAGGCATCAGGAAGGAGAAGTGCCTTGATATTCTATATAGTGGATAAGTAGCCTCTAAATAATTTAGAAATGATTGTACTTCCTTGCATCAGTTATTTTAAGATTTTTTTTAAGCTTAAGTAAAAAGAACTTATATTCTTGTGTCTGCATAGTCTTAAAATGACTTTTGACTAAATTTGCTGCCTCTTAACTTTTAAACTCCTTTCTATACTTTATAATACTGCTTTTGCTATGTTAGAATACAGTTGATTCTCCAGCTCTTTTAACAACCAAAGAATCATTGCATATGTAGCTTCCATGGCTAATAATGCATTAGAGTTCCCTGATGTAATAATAACTTCATTATCATTTTTAGTCATTTCCACCCATGCCTTAGTCTCAGGCTTATTCGATTCTACCCTCACCATTTCTCCACAGTCCAATAAAACCAGACTTTTACTGTAGAAGCTACTGGAGACACACACTGAATTTGGAGTCACAGTACCTGAGCTCTGCTCCTTATTACCTGTATGACCCTGGGCAAATCACAACCTCTCTGAGCCTCAGTTTCCTCTGAGGTCCCTTCTGGTCCTAGATCCAGCCAATCCCTATTTGAACAAGGCGTCTCCATCCTTTCCATCAGAGCAGAGGGCTTATTGGAATCGACTATAAACTGGATATGTTCTGTAGTTTCCCCCTACAAGGCTTAGTATCTCCCCATCACATTGGTTCTCTCTGGTTCTCTTGAGGGGAATTCTCTCTGACATATCCAGGGCTATGTTTCAGTTGTATTGCTCCAGCAAACCTATCTTTTAGCATGTTAAGACGCCGCCTGCAGTCATTTCTGTATCTATACTTCAAAAACTACTGCTCTAGAGGAACTTTTACAATCAGCAGAAAAACAGATTTCAGATGCATCTTTTCTTTTGTGTATATGAAGTTTAAAGAGATATATCCTATAAAATTTCAACTATTATTCTTTTTACCCTACTCCTTTTCTGAAAGGAGGGCATAAGAAGCCAAGAAATGTGTAAACTATGGGCAGAGGAAACTGCCCCATATTCATTCAACTCCAGTGGTTCCCTTACTTCTAGAATCAAATATAACATCCTCTTTGGCTTTTAAAGCCCTTTGTGAACTGGCCCCTTCCTACATTTCTGGTCTCCTTACACCTTACTCCTCATTCCATAACTCTGATGCAGTGACAGTGGCATCCTTGCTGTTTTCTTGAGCAAGACAATTCCACTACTCTTTCTCCAGACTCCAAACATTTTCTCAACATGGCCTTCATTCTATGTCTCATCTCCAGACTCTTAGTTTCTCTGACTTCTTTCAGGTCTCATCTGAAATCCCATCTTCTGAAGCAAGAAGCCTTCTTTATCCTTAGTGCCTTCCCTCTGAGACTACTCCAATTGTCTTGTATATCTTGTTTGTATACAGTTGTTTGAGTGCTGTCTGCCCCTTAGGTTGGTGAACTCCTTGAGAGCAGGCACAGTATTTGGCACACAGTAGGCACTTAATAGCTAGTTGACTGACTCAGAAATAGACAAGAAAAAAAAAGTTGCTCATAATGTCTGAAGGAACTGTAAGACTTGATTCATCTAAACTCCCCAATTACTCTTCCTTTTCTCCCTCTCCCCAGCAAGGATGCCCACAGCGATTACATGTAACTGGTTCTGAGGGCATGTAGAGAGGCCAAGAACAGTGACAGCTCCTCGAATCAGGGTAACAGGGTCCCTGAATACAGCAAAGGAGACAAAACATATTGCCTATGGGCGAGAAATGGGCAGGTCACACACACGGGGGTTTCCGCTGCGGTAGCTTTGCCTCCCTTTTTCCTCGCCCCCCCAGCTTTTCCAGCTACTCATGCAGCAGCATCGATGCCTGCCAACTGCACTTGGCCTCAAATGCTGCAGATGCAGGGTAACAGGCGTGGCGTGGCCAAATTTAGATTTGTTAGAGAGACTAAGGCTCGGGCCCACTTTGAAACTCCCAGGTCCCAAGAGGCCTCGCCACTATGGGTTTGGTCCCCTCGGGACTTGGCTAGGGGTGGAAGTGGAGGATTGGAAGGCCACAGGCTGAGTAAAAAGGGGAGCTGGACGAGGTGCAGGACTGGCGGGGATCTCGGTTCAGAGATCTCTCAGTGTGGTCAGTTCTGGAAGGAAATACAGGGTTGATGGGGATGGAAATTTGGGTGGGAAGGGGCAGTGGAAAGAGTTTGGGGTGTCCCTTCCAAAGAAATGGTAGAAAATGCAGAAGCCTCCCCCCTCCCAGCTCTCACAGCAGTAACCTTCCCAACCCTCCTTTTAGAGACTATACCTACTCCCCTTTCGAAGGCCTCCCTACTACCCCATCACTGTAACCTCCTCCTACCCCCCCCCGCAAATGGTTTGGGCCGATACCAAGGGAGCTTAAACCTACCGGACCGTACCACCCGCGGGCGACAAGGAAGAAAGGGGGAGAAGTGGTAAGAAAGGGGCTCAGGCTCGCTCGCTCTCCCTCCTACCAGCGCCAGCTCCTGCCGGGCCGAGGAGGAGGGGTTGCGGAAGGACCGGCCGAACGGAAGAGGCCAGCGCCGAGACGCGGCCCGATAAAGTCAGCACTGCCCCGTGCCACGGCCCTTCCTCCGCCTTCTCTCCACCTCCGCCCCCCCAAAAAAACCACTCACCCAAACATAGTCCCTCCCATCCCCCACTTTCACTCTCACCGTCTCCCTCCTTTCCCTCCCCTCCCCGGGTAGATACCAAGAGCGGGGGGGGGGGAGGCTGAGACCTCTGCAGCAAAACGGACCGTTCCACCCAGGGGAGGGCGGGGGGGGGGCGGAGCTGGAGAGGGCAGAAGCCCGGGGCGGGGGAGGCCGGGGAGGAAGGGGGTGTGAAGTCTCCGTTGGTGGCCCCGGGTACCTGCGGCGGCGCGGAGCGACCCTCAGGGCTCCAGGGGAGGGGGGTTCCCCGCGGTGAGGAGACCCGGCTGCGCCAGCCAGAGTCTCGCGGAGGGGAGGAGGGAGGTGGGCTGTCCCGTAGGGGGCGGGTCCCTAGAACCCCGCTCCCGCAGCGGCGGCGGCGGCAGCGGCAGCAGCAGCAGCGCCGGGCCGGAGAGCCTGGCCGGGAGGTGCCGCCGGTTCCCCGGCTCCGCCCTCAGGGGGCGGGGGCGGGGATCGGGGGCGGGGCTTGGGGAGGGCCCGAGCAACGGAGCTCCTCCCCTGACCCGGCCCCGGCGGGTGAGACCGGAGAAATCGAGCCCTGTCAGGCCGAGCCCCGGCCGCGGCCCTCCCCCGCCGCCCCCCCCCCGCCGCCCAGCCCACCTCGAGTCCCCGCCGGGCGGCCGCGGCAGGTCCCCGGGACTTCCTCCAGCCCGGGTCTGAATGCTGATCCTTCTTCTCCTCTCTCCCCTCCTCCTCCTCCTCAGGCGGCTGTAGCAGCGGCCGCGGCGGCAGCAGCAGTTGCAGCAGCAGCAGCCCCAGGAACCGCTGAAGCCGGCATGCTGGAGAAATTAGAGTTAGAAGAGGAAGGTGAGTGAGCGAGCGAGTGCGTGCGGCTCCCGACCAACTCCCGCCCTTTCCCCGCCGTGGCTCGGGTGCCTTTCATTCCTCGGGGGTATTGGGATCATCTCGGACATCCGCGGAGGCTGGGCGAGCAGCCCGGGCTGAGCTTGCAACTTCACCCCCAGGGTCCCCCCCCACCCCGCCTTCCTTCCTCCCGCCTCCCTTCCTCCCGGGGATGGCTGAGAAGGCGAGGCGAGGAAGGGGGCTGCTGCCGGGCTTCGAACCGCCGCCGCTGCCGGCGTGAAAAAGAGAGAGGATGGGGTGGGGTGGGGGCAGGGGCGGGGGGAACCACCCCACCCCACCCCGCCCTTCCCCCCTCCCCGAGCAGACGCCCGCTGGTCCAGGGATGCACGCGAGCTCATCACCTTGAACCCCTCGCTGGCCAACTCTGCCGCTGATGGGCGATGGTGCCTTCTCTGAGGGATGGCCGAGAAGTCAGGGATGGAGAGGGCAGAACTGTGGGAGAGAATGATGCCAGCAGTGGGGAAGATCTCGTCTTCCTCACCAGGGAAATAAATACTAGCCAGTTTTCAGGAGCTGGGAGGAGGAGGGGTGATGGTGATGAGGGATCCAGCAATCTTAAGCCAAGTGCTTTCGCTAGGTCCTTTTGTCCTTTACTGGCTGAACAACTCAAATTATGACTAGATACAGTGCAGTTCGTTTTTGTATATGTCGTCATTTAATACTTAGGTGTCCTCGCCCTAGCTTTTTAAAGCCCATACCTATAAATACACCGAGCTGTTAGGTTACCTTATTTGTGACAATACAACCCGTGGGTGACCCCCGTTCCCCTTTTAAAGAAGAAAATTCTATAGGTAAAAAAAAAATAGTGTCTTCTTACTGAATTGGTTTCTAGTTTACTTGACTTCACCTGCACCCTACATCATTTCTGTTGCCTCTCAGCATACTCCTTTTTCCTTTATTTTCACCTAGCCTTCTCCAAAACAGTTCTTGGATCTTTTGCTGAGGCTGTTGGGATTCAAAAAGAATGAGCTTTTATTCTGTTAAAAACTAGTACTTATTACTGAGTATGAAGGGATCAGAGTTGGACAGCATTTTTTTTTGTCTGGACATCTTTTTTAATATTATGGCTTCATATAAAAAATCTTGACAGTTCAGGAAATTAAAACTAATAATGTTCTTCCATTATAAATGGGGTTTATATTTTCTCCCCAAAAGCTGATAGACTGAAGCCCTGAAACAAAGAATGTGCCATGTGGATGCTGTCTCTGTGCCAACTTTACTTTGATCCTGTTCATTCACTGTCAGATGATTAAGTAAACCACACATTTTATTAGCCTTATGATATTAAGCAGATCCCTGCTTTTGTTTTTTCTCCTGGTTTTAGCCACATTGCAGCAATTCCACTGACGTATCTCACTGAGGATTGTTTTGTAATAAACGATCATAAAATTTGAATTTCTTTATTCACTGTCTTCAATGGGCTAAAATAGTGTAGTATAAATTTTTACTATAACTTGGTTATTTCATCCCACTGAAAAATAACTTGGCATTTTCAATGTGAACACAGTAAAATGTCTTTATATAGCATATCATCATACTTCAGGTCAAATTGTCACCCCTGTGTGTAGAATGATGTATAGCCTGGTCTCTCTCACAAGGGCTCTAATAGCCTAAAAACAGGAGTTACCTTTGTTCCCTGACTGTGTCATAATCTGCATCTTCTATATTTTTGGTTTTCATAGTATTGAAGGGAGAAGAGAAAAAGAGGACAAATGTTTTATTTAAGAACACCATCAATTAACACACCAAGTACATAGGCCTCTTGAGATCGTTGTTTGTTTGCTTTTTAGTGGAGGATACACGACCAATTTGACCTGTCAGGATCCTCCTAACTCTAACTAGTTAGAATTTTCTCTTTATATTTTCAGTGATATCATTATAAGCCATATCCAATAAACAAGTCCATATGCTATGTTTCATTTAATTGTCTCAATTCAGTTTATGGAGCATCTATTGCCTACCTTCAAAGAGTATATATTCTACCTTTCATTCTGCTGGTATTAAGTTCATTCTGTATTCCTTGACTTAAGTAGCTAGTCTGAATTCAGTTTAGGGGTTGAGGATTTCACATCTAGACAGTCTCCTTCTGCCTTTCTCATAACTTTCCCCTGCAGTAGCTCTGTCCAACTTTTCTAAATTTTCAAGGAGAATTAAACAATGATTTGTAACAGAGCTGAGCAAAAAGGGGCAGTGTGTTGCTTTCTACTTGAGTTCCCTTTGCAGTGGTGGAATGATTGAGTCTTTATAGCACTGCTTTGTTTCCATTGAACTTTTAAATTGCTTATTCATCCAAAATGGGGGGGGGGGGGGGGGGAGAATGAACATCAAACAGAATTTTACATTTGTTTAGACAAAAAACAAGTTTTACAGAAGAAGTTGAACATTATACTTTTAAAATATCCTGAGAACTGATGTTGCCAATGTGGATAATAGTTTCATTTCTCTCCAGGAGGTCTCCTTTTAAGCTTTAAACATCTTTTTGTGTCATATATTAATACCTTTCATGTGTCTAAAACATTAGGTACAAAAATACATGTGTAACCAAACATCAAATGCCTATTACTAGAAATAGTATTTTCTCCCTCTTAATTGTTTATGAATGTGCCCAGGAATTGGGGGTGGGTTGGAGGTGAGGAGTAGAGAGAAAAGAGTAGGAGGGACAGGGAGAATGTTCTTTAAAAATCTGTTTTAATAATAAGAAAAAAATAAGAAAGTTTTACTGTGAAACAACTAAGAATATATTTAATTCAAAAAGTTTTTTTTGACCCCGTATTATGTTCCCAGTACTGTCACATTTATTTTGAAGGATTTCATAGAATCATGGCCTTTAAAGTTTGAAGGGACCTCAGAACTCTAGTTGAGCCCTCTCTTTGTAGCTACAAGGAAACTAAAGCCCATAACTTGCCCAAAGTCACACTGGCAGTAAGTAACTTTGTTTCAACTTCTAGTATATTTGGAAATAAATCTCTCTTTTACATATCATAGAGGAATCAAGCTTTTGTCACTTTTGGAAAAAACAAAAACATGAGCTCCTTGAAAGTAGGGACTTGCTGAAGATTTTTGTATCTCCAGTGCCTAGCACAATGCCTTGTGAGTAGTAGGTTTTTAACAGACATTTGCTAAACACCTGTCACTCCATATATGGGTTTAATTTTTTTCTATTCTATTACTTACCTCTCTTAGGTTACAGATTCATTCCAGGGCATGGGTCTAGATCTGTACTCTTTGTGTGACACCTAACCATAGCATTATTCATTGTAGCATCATGGATTTAGAACTGGAAGTAACTTTAGAGGTCATATAATCTAGCCCCTTCATTTTGTAGATGAGGAAACTGAGGAGCAAAACGGTTAAGTGAACTTAGTCACTCAATAGTGAGTAAGATTCAGACCCATGGCCAATATTCTTTTCATTGTACCATTTTGCCACCCTTAAATAATCAACCAACTCTTTGAGGCTGATAATGGTTTTGGAAGCATGGCCCAGTCGAATAGTAGATAGAGTACTGGGTTTGTAGTCAGGAAGATCCCAGTTCAAATCTCTCCTTTGATACAACAATTGTTTGACCTTGGACAAGTTTATGAGCCTCAGTTTCCTCATCTGTAAGATGGAGGTGATAATAGTACCCAGAATACCTACCTCACAAAGTTGTTTTAGGGCAAAGCTGTATAGGTAATGTGCTTTCCGAGCCTCAAAGCAGTATCTAAAGTCAGCTATTCTCATTAAAACTACTAGTCTTCAATAGCCTAATCTATTTCTGTTCCTTTTTCCTACCTTTTCTTTATTGAGTCTTGAAACATTATCCCAGTTATTTTCTATTGCCATCTCAGTCACCCTTAATCCTAGTTGTTTTTTTTATTGTTGTTGTTTGTTTGTTTGTTTGTTTTTTTGCTTCTCTCTTTCTTGCTTCTGAATTTTTCATCTTGCCTTAACTTCAGTTTGGAAGCAGCTTTCCCCCAGTCAGGAAAGAGCTAAAATAAAGGTGTCAATAATTAAAGTCATTTTTTTAAGCTGCCCATTGTTGTAGCTCCCTGCTAACCAAATGCTGTCTCAACTGTATATCCTCTACTAACTAGTCTTTCTCATTAGTAATT